ACTAGGTATGAGTTCAAACTTGCTGAAATAAGTAAAGAACGACTCTAGGCCTTGTAAGTACAATCTAAAATAGTCATGTATAATAAGCTTCAGTAAGATCTTCGATTTTTTGTTTCTTTGCTTTTCGGCTCTTTAATAACAAAGGCAGATTTTGTTTTCCATTTTATAGTAAGCAACATGCCACTCTCTTCAGGTTTTCTGAGCTGCCTGACAAATGACTTGTCTGAATGGAACCCTATCATTTGAACATCACAGGTGCATAATCATGAGATATCAGAAAGCCCTGGAGTTTCTAAAATGCGTCAGAATGTTTCAGTTATTTACAAGCATAAATTCCAGTCTTCACAACGTATGCTGCAGCAACAGTGGAAGGACTTTCAGTAGAGGAAAATAAAAAATGAATAAAACAAAACAAAAACACATGATGACAAACAAAACTGCATTTCATTTTTTTTTTTCTAAAAATAAACATGAAATGCATCTCATATTGTTTAAAAATTCCCAAAACATCAGTTGTACAAATGTACTTTCAAACAAACTTTAAATGGTTTTAATCTTCAGCCAAAATCCACAGTGACTCTATCGGTTTTATCTGCAATCCAAATCCTTATAACAAGAGTCATGCCTGCTCATAGCCACAGTGACTTTAGATCTAGTGATGACTTGGAAATGCAGGGAAGCAGCTCTTACCTGCTCTTCTTTCTTCATCCAGAGCCAAGAGAGATTTGGCAATGCACCCAGCAAGAGTACTTCTTCCAGGTCACATCAAGTCCTTCTTTGTCCAGAAATGTCCTCAGACACTTTTCTAGGACAGCTGTTTCTACTTGTGCTATTGGGATCAGTGGACTAGTTCTAAACTTGCATCTAGTCATTATTTACGTGTCCAGCAGTATTTAACCAAGCTTAGACTTGTAACGAAAAGAACAGAAAAAAAACATGTGGAAATTGTGAAGAAGCAAATTAATGGGCTTTTTAAAAATTTTATTTTTAACATTGGATTTAATATAGAAACTCTTCCTTATTCTGTTTTAGTTCTATATTCACTTGATGTCCATCCAGACAAGACCAAAATTTTCAGAACACAACATAACAGGCTGTGAAACTGCAATGGAAACTGATTCTGTTCCTAAGAAAGAGACTTCAAAAGGGGAGATATGAGAAAGAATTATTCTAATGCACCTAATGTCTTAGCTCTTAGCACTCAACATGAAATCTACCTGCCTCTTAAATGCAATGTGTCTGGCAAATGAATGGTATTCACAGTGATCAGTCAGCCATAGCATTAAAACATCATAAGCAATATGGCCATAATAAGACCCTGTTTCAATGGTTGTTGTTTTTTGTGCTTTTTTTTTTTTTTTTTTTTTTTTTTTTTTCTCTAATGTCAGAATAATTTAGATGCCTGGATATCTGAAGCAGCTGAATATGTGAGCAGTGAAAAACACAGCTGCTTTCCAACTCAGGAACACTGTTCTGGATTATTTCTTCAACATCTGGTAAATCAGATGTTCCTCTGAAGGCAAGTACAATGGGTGTCAATGCACTTTACCTTGCCTTTGTGCAGATCAAGGTTACCCTACCACAAAGTCTAAGAACCTGATATTGATCGTAGATCTTTGGGCTGGGTCCATGTTGTTCTTTCAACTGGGCTGATGGAGAACAGTGAATAAGTTTCCTGTGAAGAGCCGTTTCCTTAGCACTAATGTCAACCAAAAGAAAATGAAGGTATGGTCTAAAAACTTGCACAATAAATAGAAAGAAAAAAAGAAAGAAAGAAAGAAAGAAAGAAAGGAAAAAAAAAAAAAAAAAAAAAAAAAAAAAAAAAAAAAGTTAAACTAATAAGATACTTTTTAAATGACAGGAAGCTCCAAAAAAAGATTCATGTCCTTCTAAACCATTACAGTTTCCACAGAAAACATCAGCCTCCTTGAAACTCTTAGGTTGGGGAGATTTATCATGATAACAACAGCGGTAGTTTGAGACAGTTAATCAAAATTCTAGCACTTACAACCCCTCTGTGGAAACTACAAATTTAAGAAGTTGAAGGCTAAACATTCAAGAGTAAGCTTGCAGTGTACATGCAAACAGTAAATTTTGGTTACGTGTTTCATTATCCTGGTGCCTTATAGCTTTTTAGGGGGTTATAACTTGACTATAATTACACACTATGTGGTAAAATCTGGCATTAAGAGAACTCTTTTCCATTCTCTGTTCTTAACAGAACATTACACACTGCTGGTACCGCATTTCTCACACAGGCAAGATTCTCAGTGAGTTTTTGGTGTGCAAGTGAAGCAGGCCAGGGAACCCATTTTGTAACTTTTAAAAACACTGTATTTCATACCACAAAACCACACTGCCCTTTCCTTCACTTATCTTCCATTAATTCAGCTTTTAGTTTGAGTTCACTCACATGGCAAAAATTGAGTAATTTATTCATGAACCAACAGAAATTATATACATAATTACATAAAGCATGACTATGAATGCTTTATTTCTGCCAGAAAAGCAAAATTTCACCAGAGTAAAAGGGAATCATGGTGACAGCATTAAAATTCATCACCAGAAACATGACATCACTTCCTTTTCTCCACACTGTGCCAAAAAAACTTCCCATGTAACTTTTTGAGGAAGAGGTACGTAAGCTTCTCCAACAGTAAAACAGAGTAATGCTAATAAAGTAGCGCCCAACCTTGGGATCACTCTGAAAAGTCACAGCTCAGTTCTGTGGCAGTTTCCCAAAGGCCTTAGATAAAGGAAATAAATAGTTATATTTACAGTCAAAGTTCACAATTCCAGTTTCCAAAACTCCCATCCTGATTCTTAGCAACTCATTCCAGCACCATAATTTGCTGTTGCAGGATCAATGGTCTGTGATAACACATGGTCATTGTGATATTACATGGTCATAATGTGGCTCTGAATTCTCTTGATATTTATTTTTTCCTGTAGAAAACAATGTATTAAGTCTGCCATGTCCACAAGTCCACCTGCATTGCACAGAAAGAGCAGCCAAAGCCCTGCTGCTTGATGCTGTGCTCAAGAAGATGGTCTAGTGAGGAGAGTGAGGAGAGGGGAATCCATATATACTCTTGCCAAGCTGCAGTCGAGGTCAAAACACAACACACGGTGTTAACAGAGCACTCTGCAGTCACTGGATAGCAACTGCTGACTAAATCCCCTCAAAGACTGAAAACCATGAAGATTTACTGTAGCCACTGTACCTGTATAAATAAACACATGTAGAATCTGGTGGAGATTCACTGCTCAGTTCAGAATTAAAGGGAATGTTCCTTCGCATGGATGTAATGGGAAGAGGCAATTAGAATTTCCAGGTTGGCACATACATTAAGTATGTTTTGAGGTATACTAATTAGGCAAAGCTGCAAATCTCCCAAATTAGAAAGCATGCTCAACAAGGAGTGGAAATGAAATGCAAATACCAGTATTCAGACATCATGTAGAAGACAAGGGTGACTTTCAGCATTCTATTACACAGGCACTTTTAAGCTATACAATGTCTCCTGGCCTTTCTCGTGCTGTAGGTCCATGTTGCATTCAGTTGTGCCATATTCCATACCATTATAGCTCAGATTTGCTTTATGTCCTTGAGGGATATAGTCTGTGCTTCTCTGCAAACATTGATTTTATCTCCACCCCTCCCTACCTCTCCCCCACAACCCCCCCTTAACCCACTCCTCCTACCCAAAAAAAAAGAAAAAAAGATGGTTGGTTGGTTGGCTGTGGTTTAACATTTTCTTTTTCTTCTTCTTTTTTTTTAATTATTACTTTATTTTACCTTTCAATTCTCTCTCTCTCTGGAGAGTTTCAGCACAAAGCAGAGTACTGTAGCGACACAGGGCTCTACATTTGAAGCTATCAGAGTTTAAGCAATTGGCCCTTTAACTTTGTATTAATTGCTTACAAGGTAAAATATTGCAGCTACAGTTATTACCTTTGTATAACAGACTCTGTGTATCAAATCAGGGTAACCGTAACCCCAGAGAAACAATTCAACTGAACTGCTCTGTCTAGATTTAGTCAAGACTCACCAGGTCTCTGAAGTAGGAAAACATAAAGTATAAGTGGAATGAAACCCTAAGGGAGTAGAACACAAAACAAGAACTCTTTGGGTTTTTGTTCCTTTATGCTCCACAGTGTATAACCCCAGAGAACCAATAAATGCAGATGGAGCACAAAAATTATGAACTCAACATTGCCTTTTTTTTTTTTTTTTTTTATAACTTCTACTAATCCAACTGTTTGCTTCACGAGCCATGTAAGAAGGAGTTTGCGTGGTTTATATTCCCAGAGTCCCATTATGGTAAAGCTCAAAACCAGCTCACCAAAGTATTTGTAAAACTGAGGGGGGAAAAAAGTATAGATTTTCAACTGATAATAAATCACTTTGTCAGCCAAAATAATCTGACTCTGCTCTCCAGTATTACTTACTACAAGATGACAGGAATAAATACAATAAACAGGATATTAAATAAAAACATGAGTTAGGGTCATCTAGATACAGATGGCACAAAGGGAGATATGTATCAGACTGCTCAAGCAGACTGCGTGGCAGAATGCATCTGTGCTCCACCTTTACAAGTCTGCTCTTCCTAGCTTCAAATGTCCCACACAAAAGAATTTCATAATCCTAAACCACTTACTGTCAGGAAGATGTGTGTGGTGTATGGTCCTATTGTATAATTATTCAGTTGTTACTCCTATAATGCATAACATTATCTGGAATAATTCTTCACTACAACAGTGAGCCTCTGTAAGTAGCTTATGTTTCTTCTTCCAGTCCACCCTCCACCCTATCTCTCCTGTGAGATCTGAAAGGAATATTATTCATTCTACAAACAAGTTTAGGAAGGAAAGTCCAACATTTCACAGAATGGCACACAAACCAATTACAGCAAGAAATTGAACCAAAGTTCTAAAACCTTGGTAGTATGTCAATATCACAAACCATAGAGCACGTGTATATATATATTTAAAACAAAACAAAACAAAACAAAACAAAACAAAAAAAAAAAAAAAAAAAAAAAAAAAAAAAAAAAAAAAAAAAAAAACAGCAGCACCAAATGAGTTTTTCTGGCTGTAAATTATGGTGGAGATAGAGGAAAAAAAATAAAATAAACTAAATCTGTTTTGGTCTCCTTCTACAAGAATTAACATACAGCACCACAATGAAACCTTTCAAAGTGCTTTTGTTGGAGCTGAACCTGTTAGAACGTAGTGGGTATTCAAATCCCTCACGTTGCTTTTCCCTTAATGCACTAACAGAGAAAATAAGGAAACTGTTTTTGTAGGATTTGCATTTTGGCACATAGGAATTCTCCTAATCTAGAAATTAAATAATAATAATAATAATCCATCTGATAATGTCAATGAAACACAGCAATTTAAAGAGAGATTTTACTACTGCCTTCTTCACACCTTCCACCATTTCTTTTTCTACATTCTTGATACTTCCAATGCTGCCTTCTCACTGCCTTTCAGTTGTTGGTCTATTCCAGACCCAATGGGACCTAATTTCATAGCATCCAAAAGGGAAAGCAAAGCCACTGGGTTTCTGCCACACACTACTGAGAAAAACAATAAGATAGATACTTCTATCAACTAATGGTATAGATGCCATTTTTAGATCCAGATTAAAACTGCTTTTCAATTAGACATAAAATACTAAAATATAACTTTGAACAAAACATTTTTATCTCTAAAAGACCTTCATTTCCATATAGGATTAAGAACACATACCACTGACTGCAGGACCAAGCTCTGGTGATCAAGACTTTAGAGAAAATGCAGATACTAACTCAGGATAGGGCACAACATGATTTAAGAAGCGATCACTGGTGATTTCATCACAATCCTGTGCATAGAAAGTTTGTTTTGGAACACGGTTTTTGGATTCTTATGAAAAATGACATGATTTCACAGAACAAATGTTGTATATAAGGACATGTTCTGTGACCTGGAGCTTCCACAGTACTTGAGCACTTTGCTCCCACTGTAGAAGTCTGAAAATCTCTGAAGCTGTGAACTATAATATTAAGTTAACTGGTGCTGGTTATCAGAAATGTATTCCGATCCCATCTCTTATAGCACCATTCAGTTTAACACTCATATTGAAGTGAACAGGCTGAAATCCTCAATTCCAAAATTCAACTTCCAAAATTACCATTCCACTACACTCACACACATAAAATCCAAACAAAACTCTACCAAGTCCCCAGTATAGCAGTGAGGCTAATTATACATGAGAAATAAAGAAAATATATCCATATTTGCAACACCCTTGACAATATTATCCTTAGACCTACCTTTTTATTTGGCAAATTGAAAACAGGTTTAAAAAGGTAACAATGACTAAATACAAAGAAGATGATGGATTAAATATCCACTCAGTGAGACTTCTTGAATACAACTTGGGAGAAAAAAAAAAAAAAAGGAGAGAGAAAATATTCTTTTGAAAAATAATTTTCAATAATTTGAAATCTAATTTTCTGCTGGATTGCAGTGAATGAAGTCCAGATACGTATCTATAGCAGCAGGGCAGCATCTCCAAAATGCAGTAGTTCCGAAGTGCCAAACCATGGTATGTGTCAAAGAAGAAGAAACTAAGAACTTTGCTATTCACCTTCCTTTCCCTGAAGGAAAAAAAAAAAAAAAAAAGAGACTACAACTCTTCTCTCTGAGAGAGCAGTAGCTATGAAACGATAAGCCCCCTAAAGGACTAACTCATACAAAACCTCAGTTAATTTCTTCCACAGCAGCTATTCCTTCTACCTGGTACAGGGTGAGTTTGCTTGGAGAGAAATACCACATCTACGAAGAAGCACACAAAATGTTAGGAAATGTCACCTGAGCAGACAGCTACCAGGATCCTCCCTGTCCCACTGACACCTACGGTACGCACTATGCTACACTGCCCATAAAAACTGAATGTATCCTGAATGTGAGGAAAAGCATGAGGACAAGAAACACAGTTGTAAACTACTTCTAGCATCACTGGAAACAATGTTTGGAGCATTCCTATATGTCTTGTCTAACCCAGACAAGCTGCTGTATACAGGTGAGCACAGGCATTTAAGGTAATTAAGAAAAATTATGGTAATTAACCTTAACTGCTGATTGAAACACACAGTATGGAGGTTTCCTCATTGACTTCATACCTTCAAGTCATTAGCGTTCAGTTTATAGAACTCTCACAGAGGAGAGGGAAGGCCCTTCTCAGCAAAACAATTTGAGGAAATTGCCATCTCAGAGAAGTAGCTCTGCCTTGAGATTTTGGGAGAGACGAGAAAAAAAGGCCTAAGGAAAAAAGAATACGGATTTTACAGGGAGAATAGATGCTTTTGCTAAGAGGGCCTCCTCGAAGGAAGAGCGAAAGGAGAGCTGCTTTCCTAACAGCGAAGGTGCTGTTAGAGGCCAAACATCAATTTGCAGCTTCTTAGCAAGCATCCCCGAGAGCAACATACCAGGGCTGCGCTTCAAGCTTAACGCAGCTGATAGCGGCTGAAATTTATTAGGAGAGCTTTCAGATGCGGATATAGTGAGATAGCTTTTCTGTCAAAGGCAAACTTGTGGAAACTCAGCGGGACAAAGCTCCAGAAAGCAGAAAAGAGAGTGAAAAGTGCAAGGAAACACAGCAAAAGAACAAACGGGATGCTGGATTTGCGCTGCCTGCAAGTATTCCAGGTTTACGACCAGGGAGTACAAAGGTGGTGAGGGAGCAATAAATGGCATGGGAGAAAATAATAATAATAATAATAATAATAATAATAATAAAAAGGCATTTTGCCGCGGCCCTAATAAATTACCGGATCGTTATGACTGCGGCCTCCGCGCCTCACCTCGGGGAACGCGCAGGCAACCGCTCCACCGCCGCCCCTCGCCCAGGTTCGGCCCCGTCCCCCTCCGCTCGTTTCCGGCCGTGCCCATCCCGCTCGCGGCCACCTGCGGCCCGGCAGCCCTCGCCCGCGGCACGGACCCGGCACCGGCTGCCTGTGCAACACCTCCGCAACACATTTTATTTACACGAAATCGACTAGGGGTATTGTACATTATATACAGATAGTTTTCCCCTCCGACAAGGCAGAGCTTGTGCAAGATAGTAGCATCCTCTGGAGCGTATCCTACAGTCCACGGGGAGCATCCCCCTGCGCGGCATCAGCTGTCGGAGTCCAAATCGCTTTTCCCGTCTTCTTGCCTCTTCTCCGGAGACGTTTTAGATGCTTTATTCCATTTTTGTGCATTTTCCGATTCCTCAGAAGACGACCGCTTTTGCCTCCTCCATTTCGCCCGGCGGTTTTTGAACCAAACCTGTTAAGCGAGGCAACAAAGTTAGAGAAAGGAAAAGGCCCTTCCCCGGCCCTCCGGAGCCCTGGGCCCTGCCCGCCTGGAACCGCACGGACCCGCGGCCGCCCCCGTGTTCGGGGCTGTGCCAGGAACTTCCGCGGTGCGGCCGCCTCCGCGTTCTCTGCCCGCTCGCAGGAACGGAGACGTTCCCCAGCCCCGAACCTGTTCTCTCTCCGCGGCCGGCGGAGCCGAAATCAGGCATCTCCGCGTTTAAAGTGGAAAGGAAGAGAAGGGAAAGAGGGGATCGGAATACCTCCACTTTTTCCTCTCTTAAATGCACCCTCCTCGCTAGCTGTTCCCTGGTGCCCACGTCCGGGTATTTCGTTTCCTGGAAGAGGTTTTCCAGCGCTTCGAGCTGCTCGTCAGTGAAGATAGTCCGGTGCCGTCTTTTCCGCCGGCAGTGCAGCTGGTTGAGTAACTGCAGCTCCGTCCGGGACAAAGTGCCTACGTTCATGTAGGGCAACATCTGATGGGGAACAGGGGACATCAGCACCGACCCAGCGCCCTCGTAACCTACGAACAGACAGACGAGACGACGGGAGGCTTCGTGCGTGAGACCGCCGCTCCCCAACGAAGCGAGTCCGCTCTCCCCCGTCCCCCCCGAGCGCTCCCTTACCTGCTGGGGGAACGCAGGAGCACTGCTGGGCCCCCAGCGGCGGCACGGCCCCGCAACACGACGGGGCCACGGGAGATGCGGGCACATGCAGCTGCCCGTAGTAGTAGTTGTTGTAGCCCAAACGGGAGCCGCCGACCGCCGGCAGCGCCGAGCCGGGAGCCACAGCCCGGGAGTAAAATCCTCCGTAGTCGGAGGCAGCGCCGTAGAGGGAGTCCCCGTGCAGGCTGGGGAAGACGACGGGCGCGGCGCTCGGGGGCAGCAGCACCGAGTCCTTGCAGCGAGGTCTGGCCGCCAGGATGTTGTCGATGCTGAACATGCTCGCAGGCATGCCCCAACGCGGGCCGGGGACCGGCCGGGGGAGGGAGGTGCTGCCGGAGGCTGCGGCGGCAGTGGTGGTGGTGGTGGAGGGGAGGGGGGAAGCGGGAGAGACGCGAAATCGAAACTTTCGGGAGAAATTTTGGAAAGGGATCGGAGAGAAAAGAGCGAAGCCTTTTCCGAGGGCAGCAGTCGGGCAGAGCGTATGTGCATGCGTGTGTGCGTGTGTGTGTGCGCAGGATCCACCCCTGGAACTTTCCCCCCTCGACTCGCGCCTGTTTACTGATCTCAGCCCGGAGGGCTGCACGGAGTATAATCCATCCGAACCTCTTCCCTTTTTTATACCCAGGCGACGTCATCCTGGATTTAGTTCCTGGTAATATGCAGATGACAAACAAAACCAGATTTGATTTTTCACCCACTCCCCCACCCCCCCTCCACCCCCCGCGTTTCAGTCGGGAAAGGATGGGGGGGTTGCACAAAGGAGTGAAAGGAGCCTGGGTCTGTGGATTGAGAATTAATGAAATTAACGTAATCCTTTCCATTAGTGGGCTTTTTTGAAAGGCCCCAGATTTAGGTTTGATCTCTGCTGCGCCGGCTAATTGCCCGGGTTAATCTCATTAATGCCATTGTGCAGAAGTGGTTAGCAGGTCTTCGCCTTGTCTATTATGCACTACTTTACTCGTGTTAGTTCGCATTAGTGGGTGCAATTTCCTCCGTCTGAAGATCAGATTCATTATTTATACTTCGAATTGATCGAGAAACACGTAAAAAAAAAAAAAAAAAAAAAAAAATCGGTATAACCACGCAACTTTTCCCCCTCGAAGTGTTTCTGTACCACGAGGCGAACTTTACTCAGGGAACCGGTGGGGCACTGAGGAGTGCGCTGCTGTCATTTGCATTCTATGCGCTGTGCAATATCTTCTGCTGAGTATGCGATCTATTTTTCTCCCTCTGTTCCTACATCACCTGGAGAGGAAACATTCAGACACTGTAAAATTTAGATTTTATTTTATGTTGTGTGTTCTCATCCACACAGGTATCGTTTTCTGTTTTTTAACGAGCCAGAATGTGGGAATGTCAATGACCGCTGCCATCTCACATCGCCGAGCTGGTAGGTGCTCCGATTTGCTTCTCATCTCCGTTCTGGTGCTTTTTTTCTTTTCACTTTCTAAGCAAAAATAATTTCTTTTCTAACTTCGAAAACGAAACGTATAGAGCTGCGGCGATACGGAGAAACTTCGCCTATTTCATGTTCCGAGAATTTGAAATGGAGCAGTTCAAAAGTCCGTAAAATTCTCAGCTGAGACACTCGGCTCTCCTGGTAGCTGCTCTTGTGATTTGCAGAATACTTCGTCTGTCACGACTGTCACTGGGAATCCACAGGAGGTGAACTCAATCAGATTAGACTATTTACCCCATCAACCCTCCATGACAGAAGGTAGGAAATTGTAGGCAAGGAATGAAAACAAGCTATTAATATCCGTTTACGAGGAACACATTATTTTTCCTCAACAAAGACCATCCTCGTTAGCGCTCACTCGCACTTTGTCCTTCCTTTCCTCGAAATTCCAGATTTTGTTACTGTGTCTGATATTGACCCAAACCGAAGACCTATGCCTATCAAAAGATGCGTAGGAACGTTAAGAAAAAAGGACCCCAGGACTCTTTTCTCACCTTGATACATAGCGATGTGACTAATAGTTACCATCGTTTCTTTTCCTTCATTTATTTACCTATCAATTTCCTTGCGCCTTTGGTATTTAGAGCTGACCTTTGTGCGAATCTTACAAATTTGATGTAAAAGGAAAGAATTTGATGGGTAGTCAGTTTTTTTCTTTTTCTCCTTTTATTTTTTCTTCTTTTCCTTTTCTTCTTCTTACTTTGTATACGTTCTGGGGTGGTTTTTGATTTGCTGTTCTGGTTGGATTTTTTTGATGTGTGTTTGTGTGCTTTGATACTGGGTTTTGGGGGGGTCAGTCGTTCCCTGGCTCCGGCCCTGCCCCGCGTGTTACTTAATTCCCCCCTCGCGATGCTCACTCACGTCCCAGAGGCTCCGCAGCCACGCGCGACCGCACCTCCCTGCTGCCTCCTCAGCTCTCAGCGGTGCGGGGGCTCCGGGTGGCCCCGAGCCCAGGGATACGCCGGGCCGGGCCATGAGGGCACAGCCTCGAGCCTCCGCAGGTGCCCTGAGGGCCTCTGCGGGACGGAGGGAGGGAGGAATGGAGGGCAGCGCGGAGATGTCGCCGAGACTGCAACGCTCACCTTCGTTGCCAATTTAGAAATGATTTTTTATTATGATGATTGTTTTATTTTCTCCAAGTCCTTGTCACTCCCGTCGGGGAACTTCTCGTTTGGTTTTGTTTTAATCTCCGAAGCCTTGCAGCTCGAACTCGGTGTCGATATCCACTTCGCAAAGGCTGCTCCGCAGTTTCTCATCTCGCACCCACTCCTCACTAACTTAGCAGACGTAAAATTGTATTAACCGAACAGTCAGCGCTCACACAATGTCGGGATGAAATTGTAATAACAAATGAAACGCAAGCAAATTGTGCTGCATAGTGTTGCTAAGCAATTGTTTGTTACTGAGGGAGAGTCACAGCATGGGCTGAAAGAAAGACCTAAAGAGGAGTACGGCACCGGGCGGAACAAGCTGTTAGGTGGGAAATACAGTAAACACTGCACTGATTTTCAATATTATTACCCAAACACGATTTCATACAAAGCAATCACCGTACTCAAGTCTATGGAAATGCGCTCGTTGAGAAATCGGCCGGTAGTTTTATTTTGAGGTATTAAGGAATAATTCCGGGGATGCAAAACGCGCCGCCTGCGGGGCGCGGGGGTTCCGCGGCAGAGCAGCACCGCGCAGCTTCCGCGGTCGCCCCGCGGGGCCGCAACGCCGCAGTCGGGGCCTCCCGGCGGGGGCTACAGAGGGGCTTCGGCCGCTATTCGCCCACCGGACCCCGGCTGCGGGGGAAGCTGAGGCGGATCAAAGGGTCTGCTCCAGCGCCGAGAGCCCCTCGGAGCTTTGCAGCACATCCTTCCCGTGCGAATGCCATCACTCTCCAGCTTTTGCATCATTACTTCGGGGGAAAAGGGGGAAAACAACAACAACAACAAAAAACCAACGGTACAATGAGAAATTACGGTAATTTGTTCCCAGAATAAACTTATCTTCAACTGATTAGGAAAGTCAGTCATTTTGAAAACGAGGTAGCGTTTTCAAAACGCATCTCCCCTTTCCCCGCTTAAAGTTTCCCTCTAACAATATCGGCTTCTAAAGTTTTCATTCATATAAACTCTATTAATGAAGATCTTTTATTTAAATGTCAGGGGAATTTGAAATTTAGAGTAAATTATGAAGCATGCATGTCTTGCCAAGTCATGGGTCAAATGCATTTGTGAAAAACTGCTAAAAGAGCATATGGTTTTGAATTTTTCTACAATGACTAGTGTTTAAATAAATTGCTTGTACTGCTTAGCTTCATGTATAATTTTGACAGAAATTGGCCTATAGCCTTTTGATATGTAAACATTTCAGGCTTTTATGCGGTATAAAAAGACACTTGCTTTTTGGGATCAGCTAAAGCAGTCACCCTGTAATTCAGCATGCTGGCACCTACCATTACGTTCTTGCTACATTTCAACTTTCAAGTGGCAGCAGAACGGGAAAAGGAGAAGGGACGTTTCAAAAGCAATGTCCAATTGGAATTAAAAATTGCAAATGAGGTGAGAACGTGCCACTCACTCTCTGATTGAAATGGACAATCCATAGCGTTAGCGCGAACTTTCTGTCTTGTTTTCTAAGAAACAGACACGAATCAATGAAAACACTTCAATACAGTTCAGACCTGACTTGCAAGCACGTCTAGGTAGGAGAAAGGAAAGCCAGACATCCCTCCTGAATGTATTTCTCTGAGTTCTTCCACTTATTCTTGGCTTGTAAAAATTAAAACGGGCTTGTGTGTGTGGAACGTTGCACACGAAGTATATCGGCATGCCACAATCCATGGTTTTGCCGTTCAGCCAGCTGTGCGTCCACTGACATTTCACCAGTTCCCAAGTCTTTTGCAGGTATTACTCTAGTAAATATCTCACTGACTTCAATTCGGGTTGGGTTGGTTTTTTTTTTCTGTTCTCCCACTTTCCCTTTTAGTTGTTTATTTATTTATTTTCCCTTTCTGGTGAAGAGCAGTGTAGAACCATAAGGGCTTCATCACACAGAGCGCACAAATAGTAGGTCACTCAGTTTTAAGTCTCCTTAAACTGAAATGATTTTGTGAATGTATATAAATCCAGCAAGCTACTGAATAAATCCATTTATTGCTAATATATCTGTCTCACATAAATAAACCTCCTAATGTTGATTGGATGGATAAGCCTAGCTCAGTGCGAGACAGAACAGGACCTGGAGAGTTGCTTGGTGCCAGACAGCTCAATGTGTTTATTTCCTGTGTGCTTTAGCTGAGGCTAAGCTGAAGTTGGAAAAAGGTTCAAATGAGCTATATAATTTCAATCTGTTACTGTAGTAAGATCCGTATTTATTGTATATGTCAGTTTGTCATACACTCACTTCTCAAGATACACTGCCCCTTTTGTTAGTGTACAGTGATGATTTTTTTTTTTTTTTCCATAAATGTAATGAGTCAACATAGACACATTCTGTTGTAGGTGGTTTGGATGTTTTAGAAGCTTAATATGTTATGGTTTCAGTCTGATGTGAGGTTTTCTAATGAAGAAAGTATAATCTCTTAAATAAGTTCATGAATGTGAACAAAAGTGAAAGATAGAGTCTTTCTTCCTTTCTTTCTTTCTTCCTTTCTTCCCTTCCTTCTTTCTTTCCTTCTTCCCTTCCTTCTTTCTTCCTTTCTTTCTTCCTTTCTTTCTTCCCTTCCTTCTTTCCTTCTTTCTTTTTTTTTGCGCAGGTTTCTCATGTATTCCAACACATATCATGCTTAGCAAACTAAGGCTTGTATCATTGCTGATAAAGAACAGGAATTATGAGACATCTAAACTGTGCAGGTCATTGCAAGGAAGACTCTTTCAAAATAAAGTATATTTCAGAGTGGACAGTGAGAAAAAAATTCTGGTCCTTGATTGCACTCACAGGAGCCAACGAGAGGGTTCCCTGTTCCATGGTCATTTGCCTTCCACTAGATACAGTCTGGTCATAAACTCAAAGATGCTGTGATCAGTTCTGCTTAGTATCAGTAAAGTGAGATGACATCAACATTAAGAACAACAATCATGCCAAAAGTTGTGATGCAGAGGCTGATGTAGCAGTCTCTTGAATGACTCACAATTTAGAAGTGACTCCCTATCGTAGGACAGACAACAACCAAATTTTTCCCTGAAAACTGAACCATACCATAACAATGTTCTCACAAGCTTCCAAGAGAAGGTGACTTCACTCTAACATTTCAGTACTTTGGTTTGTCTTTGTAAGAATAATTCTAATTCCCTGTACATACAGTCACATATAGCTGTGTATAGGTATGTGCATCTAATCCCTACATACATTGCCTAAATTGTGTTAAACACAGTATCTATTTGGATCTCTTCCTATGCTAGGTTTTTACTAGTATAAATACAGCAATTTAAAAAGAATAATAATGATAACCACACACACACAGAGTAAGCCAAAATAATGCTTTCTTGAGTGACAAACATAAACCAAACTAAGACCTTTGTTGGTGAACTGCCTTTTTCCAGTGATTGAACTAAGTTCTTGGATCATCATGTAGCACACTGGATTTTAAACCACAAGAGATCCTGAGCACACACAACTACAAATCAAGTCAACAGAAATTGTGTGTGGTCAGCGATTATCATTCTACTCAAGTATTATTTCCTTGGCTAAATCTCTTCTTAATGCCACCAGACATAGTTAATGCCACCCGAACCTCTCCCCTCTCCAGAAAGGCCCTGGGAGATTACACCCAAAATAGCCATTTATTTGTAATGCAAAGAGCCTCAAAAGGATTTTCTAGGGAGCTAGAGAAACAAAATCAGCATTAAAAATAAATAAGGGAGCCACAGAAAAGGCAGCTATTGCATTGTTTTCTTTAACATATTCATGAAACATACAGGTTATTTTGGGGATTTTTAGAGTTTATGTGTATCACTCCAGCATAATCTAGTTGCTTTACTCCAGTGGGACTGGAATTACCACCCAATTCTACACTGAGGGAAGCCTGTTTGCTAAGTGCCACTGATTTTAAATGCGAACTGAAAGAGAGAGAGAGGGATCTTCCAGCTAAAAGTTACATTATCATTGCCAAACACCATGTAACTGAAACTTAATAGAAGCCTTGACTGCTTTATTTCTGGAGTGAGTGAGGTGTGCCAGATACTGATCAGGAAGATTCACAATTTTTAAAAAAGAAGAAATTATATTAAAAATGAATTCTTGCAAAGGTCAAAAGTTAAAAAAAAAAAAAAAAAAAAAAGGATAATTACAGTAGAGAAACATAAAATGAAAGGTAATAGTTTTAATGGAAGCAAGACAAATATGCCAGAAGGAATTACAAAATTGCTGCCTTGGTTAGATGTTATTTTGAAATAATGAAATAAACAATATCACCATAATTGGTTGCAGTGACCACTGGTTACACCACACAGATAAAACAGGGTCATCCAGTTAAACAGCTGAGGTAGAAGAATGATTATACTTACCTACTAATGCTCTCGACCTTAACATAGGTCTCTAGATTAAATCACAGCATTCTCAGTCAACTGTATCCCCAGATGAATTCTAATTCATGCATTTAGGGGGAAAAACACAGTCTGTTTACAACAAAGGTCATTTGTGGAATGGAACACAAGACCCAAATCACTGAAGGACAAAAGTATGAAGCTATGTTTATATGACATTCTAAAGCTTGGGTTTGTTTCTTCTTCATATTTATAAAGCTATTTCTATTTGTACTGTTAGTACACACAAGAGTTTTAATACCTTTCTGAAAGTTAACGGAAAATTTTTAAATTAAATAGGATTATCTTTGAAGTCTAGATTAATTGATGGCTTTTCCCTTGGTACTCAACTTTCACCAGTTCAGGACTGAAGTTTCAGATTCCATCAATGTTCCCACAAGTTTGAGAACTTATAGTTAAAACTTTATACTTCGGACCTGATCAAATGAGACAAGGCATTTTTATAATTTGTGATTATAAAGTATTCAGGGGAAACAAGTGTCAGCTACTCCAGTGAACCAGAATGTTATGTCAGTATTTATCTGTTCATAGAGTCATAGAATTTTTTGAGTTGGAAGGGACCCTTAACAGTCACCTAGTCCAACTCCCCTGCAATGAACAGGGACACCTACAGCTCAATCAGGTTGCTCAGAGCCCCATCCAGCCTGACCTTGGATGTTTCCCCCTACATTTTTGGCTGTCCTTAGGATCAGACACTTTGACCTCTGAATACATTTTTTCTACATCTTGTTTCCATGCAGTCTGGTCTTCAATCTTTTGGTTTTGAAGGAAGTTCAGTTCTTTTATGATAATTCTGAGTTTTCTTGGAGGATTTGTTCCAAAGTTACTGAAAAGATATGCAAGACCATGGATTGGGCCCAATGCCTGTTTCAGAAGGCTGTTGCGGTGTGTAGCTAGATATAGCTCTGGATCTGGAACTTAGCTGAGAACATGCAGCAGCCAGAAGACAGGGATAGCTCATGTTTCAGAAGTTTTACCAATTACATCTTCTTGCTTATGTGCTGATGTGGTGTTACATACATTTTTGAGAGTGAGGACTTTCGCCCTTGATAAATTATTTTTTGAGAGGAAATAATGACTCCTTCCTGCTCTGCCTCTTGCAGTATATATCAGCATACATCAGCAACACATTTGGAGATTAAATATGCTCAAAACTTCAACAGATAGACATCAACATTTCCTAGGCCACTTCTTTGTTGTGCATTAACCTCAGGGCAGTAAATACACACTAGGTATACCACACTGTGAAAATCAAAGTGCTCAAGATACTTCAGGACAGACTGATTCATGAAAGTTTGTGCACATCAAAAGTGAATTTATAGTCTATCTTGGTCTACACTAAATCTGCAGTTGGGAAACTTTTTTCATGCCACAAGTACTCTGCACCTTTCAGCTATCACATACCGTGTGTACCAGAAGCATTGCACAATGGGCATTAAGAAAACAGTAAGCTGCAGACCTATATCAGAATCCTACTGCATGCTGTTTAAGAAATCCAAGTTTAACAGACAAGGAGTAACCTTACCTTAAGGCTGTATGGGCTTTTACATCGGAGTACTTCACCTTCAGAAATCACCTAAGGATAAAGAAAAGCACTTCAAGCTTATTGAGGCTATCTTTCCGGGTCTTTTCAGAACCCTTTTAGCACAGTGCCACATGTCATTGCCTGAGCTTCAGTTTTGTTGCTCTAGGCTGTTAAACTTGATGTTTGCAACAAAATCTGCTGTTTGGAACAGGGCATGAAGACAGATTGAAACAGTAGTTGGTGGCAGCAAGGTTTGTCTGTATTCATTGCTGTTTCATGCATCCATCTGAAGTGCTGTCCTTGATAAGTCATTGAAAAACCAATGATGGATGTGTTGTTAAGGTCCAGAGTGCCAACATTCTGTAATGCACATTAGACAAACTGTAAAACAGCTGAAGGAACTTTCAGAATCTTTGCAACCCAAAAAGTTCCCCTATTATGGATGCGCACACTCTTCTGGTTTCTTTTGATTATAAAGTATTTTCTTTACAATGACTTTTGAAGTCATTGATCATCAGATGACTAATGCCATAGTCTAGCAATCAGTTTAAAACCCACTAATTTTAGGTTCTCCTAACCTCAGCCTGCCCTAATTCAACAAAAGAAGTCTGACTCATGTTGAAACATTAGCAGAATTTAGGGAAACCAGAACATAATTATAAATATTTTCTACAAATATCCCCCAGCCTGTACTCTGGCCCCAACAACTGGATTCTTAGTACAAGGACTATTTCAGTATGAACTTCAGGCTCTTTAAAGAGCTTTGCTAATATAAATTTACTTTCTTGTGCATGGCATACACTGACTTCAAAACTGACTATGGCTAGTGTTGGTTCAGCAAGGCATTTGCTCAGACAGCCTTTGAATTGTGTCTTAAAATCCTCTGCACTGCAAAATACACTTTGCTGTATTGTGCATTTTGAGGCATATGGAGAGATGAAAACTGAAGCATCCACTCTACCAAGATAACTGTGGAGTTAGTCTGTGCACAGCAATTCCATCAATAAATTTATTCAAAAATCATTCATTCTAGAGGAACTCCAGCATTTGCAAATTTAACATTAGAAATTCTGAATCTGTGGTTGGATTTTCTGCCTGTTTACTGAATACTGAACAATTATGTGTTGACAGTTCACGAAATGCTAGAAAAATAATAGTCTGTTCCTTTCAATGACCAAACCACACAATTCTAGAAGTGACTGTGATATTAAAGATGCCAGTCAGACGCTATGACAAATGATGGCAAAATGTCACAATTTTTGCATTTCCTCAAGTCACAATAAGTTCCCCCTGCCCCAAATCCCTGGTCACCTTACCTACTGCTCTCCACCCTTTGGTTCAAACTGAGGTCTGATTTCAAATGTTCTCAAGCCAGACCGGTAAAACACATGCTTTTCTCTGATGTGGCATTTGCAGTGTTCACTTAGAGGGATTTAACTGGAGAATTGCTCTTCTTGAAGGTTGAAGGAAAATAAAACTATGAGGAAAGTCAATTACTTTTGCTAAGCATTGCATCACATTGAAAAGAAAAAATAAGTACCACCAGAAACAGCTCTGAGGTTTTTCTATTAAAAGCACTCATTGCTATGTAGCACTGTATAAACAGGGTAGAATAAGAGTCAGTAAAAGCTGTTCAGGTCAGGGAAGAAAAACACATTTAACATTCATGTCTTCCAACACAAGGCTATAATGTATAAACACATAAATACACATACAGAAAAGATCATTACATTTCAGGCAAGAAGCAAATGTCAGTGCATTTGAGTTTATAGCACTAACAATCAGCTCAAGCAGCCACAGATTTCTTCCTTGGATGATGTGGACTTTGTGTAATCATGCTGTGTTTGCAGTGCACCCTGTGAATTAAGTAATTCAGAATGCCAACCAGAGAAACTTTCAGCTGCAGGCAATAATCCTCAAGGGCTACAGCAAGCGATTTGACTCCAGCTAAGATCATTTTCATATCACTGGTCTATAAACTCCACATGCTTCGCAAGATTAAAATATGATTCAGTGCTCCCAGAGGCCGCTGGAAAGTCTGTGCCACTGTCTAGCAAGGGCGAGAACTAAGATCACCCCCACGCTTTGCTGTCACTTCATTCTCTGAGACTTTTCTGGACGGAGCAGAGAAACCTGCTGTGGTATGGGAGAACTCAGCTGTGCACGGAGGAAGCTTGAGCCCCTGAACTACCCGCACTGGCACCACACCGACAGCGAGAGTATTCCAGCAAATCTTCAGCACCTTGGGTTTTAACGGGTGTTGGGTTAGGTTTTAATTCAGATTACATTGCAAATACCTTCCTGTGTGATAAAGGGCTAATTACAGGAATAGATGGAAACCACAGGGCCTCTAGGGGAATTAAAACTCTTAGGAAAGTTGTACTTAGCCATAGGCAAATTATCTTGTTGTTGACACTGGGTGTAAACCACAGGTCCTCCTATTCCTTGTTTGCCAACCTATTTACTGCCCTGTTGAGCATAAAAAGAGCTAAGCACTTTAATACCATTACAGAAAAGTCTGCTAGACGACCTGCTGTGCAGGGTCCAAAGTGTCACTCTTGTTACTGAATTCTTGTTCAGTACTGACCTTTTACACTACAGTTAAAGTTGTGGTGATAGAACAAATTTTCAAGTAATTTGCTCTACCTCAGGCAAGTTGCAGGATATCGACATCAAGTCAGTGTGATTTAATTTAAAATGTTATTTTGAGATAGCCTTTGCACTAGCTGAGCATTAAGAACTACTGATGGATGTTTTTACTGTGTTTATTTTAGCTGAGTTCGGCTGTTTTAAGAATGATTCAAATTAAACCAGAATAAGCCGTTCTAGAACTGAGAAAAGCCAAAAAGAATTTGGCTTCCATGTAATGACTTGTACCAATGTAATTAATTCAGTATCGAGAAAACATAAGAGCATTTTAGTTGTCAGACAAACTGAAAAAAAGTATTCTTGATACAATTTAAAGAAATGCTTTTGGGGATTACTTTCTGCTAATGTATCAAAGGATTATTTCTAAATGCTGAAAGTATCAGAGCTACCTTTTACAAGAAGTGGGCCAAAATTGAAAGAACAGATTTGAACTCTTGAATTTGTGGGTTGGAATGTAATTCTCACACCTATTTATCCAGCCTTGCCAGACTTATTACCACCACTTGAGCCCTAGGAGTGAACTTACTTTTACAGCTTAGTTTCCTGATCAGATGCAAAATTGGAATATGTGTATTTTATGCTTTGGGAGTAGGCAGAGCCAAAACTGTGTAGAGCACCATTCCACTCAAGATCAAGTATTCTCATCAAGATCACTTAATATCTGAGGTCTTCCATTGGAACTTTATTTTGTTGAAGATGCTTGTGGGAATTTAACATGATGTAAGTGAAGCATAGCTTAACACAGATCCAACAGAGTCTTCAAACTCTGTCTCTGCCTATTCCTCCCAGTAGCTGCAACTAGTCTGGAAAACCAGTTGATCTGGCGCCAATTGCTCAAACAAGTGGTTTTAGCAAAATTTAGTTTCTGAGCAATTTTTTAAAGCAAGCTATTCCTCCCACACCCCTCCTAGAAATTAATTTTTAAGGCCACCATATATTTTTTCTTTCCAAAGTAAATGTACACAAGCAAAAGTAATCCTTATAGCATTAAAAACATGGAAATTAGAGAATTTAGGACTTCAAAATGTACCTACTTGAGAGACATTTGGGAAAACAGAATATACATTCACTATGAATAAAAGCCAGTTGTTAACCAGTACAAACAACAGTAACCTAATCTATTTTTCTTTTCAGGAACACTGGTATCCTATCAAACACCTTTGCCTCCTGTTATACAATTCTACCACAGCAATAAAATCAACTGTCTGCAACAGTTCTAGTTCGTTGTATGGTTAATACCAATAATGTACTCAAAATTGATGTTTAACAGAGTGAACTGATTTGTTGGAGTGTTAACAGCCACAGACTTTAACTAATAAACAGATCATTAACTGCTGGTAATAAACAACTTGCCAGGATCATTTATTATTTAAGAACATACTTTGTCTTACAAAAAGATAGCCCCATTTAGGTCTGTGTGTGACACCTTTCTGGCTGTCACTCAATGTGTGAGACAGGCAAAGCTACTAGAAACTATCTGCCACACACTAGATCAAAAGACATTAAAAACCACTGTTTTTCATCAGGAAACAGTAGGAGATAAAAAAATATTAACTCCTTTAATTATGTAATCAACATTTTTACAAAATTCTTTACAATAATGCCTCTAACTGCAACATGAATAATCTAATTTCCAGCACTGATTAAGCATTGTAACTTCTTCACCCTTCTTGCCATATGGAATGCCACTGCTACAAACATTTCCTTCTGGAGGTAGTTCACTGTGGGTTATGCTATTTATGTGTGAAGAGCTTTCATAAAGGAGAAGGAAGACAAGTAGAAAAGCCACAAGGATTTTGTTCTAGGATCAACAAGAGAAAAATAAACTTGAAATTGATTATTTAAAAAAAAAAAAAAAAAAAAAAAAAAGGAACTCCTATGAGGAGTACAGGCAACCCAGCCTTGAGCAGCCTGCTCAAGATGTCTACTCAAACATGGGAAGGATGCAGATGATGTCTATCAAAGGTCCTTTCCAACCTCAACATTTCCACGTTTCTGTTATTTTGCAAAACTAAGGTCCAGGTAACAATTTAACAATTTAGAAATATCATACAATTATTCTATATGATGGCTGCAGATTTACCAGTTACAGTAGAAAATCTTTGTTTTCCTGCCAATCATCCTGAAGCTGTTCTATTTGTAATATAATAAAATTTTTCATATAATAAGATGGACTGCCATTCCAGTTTCCTTTTGATCCTCATCCATGAAAGGAGTGAGGATAGGCATAGTAACTCAGAATACTACAATACTTTGCTGAAAAACAAAGATACCTAAGACTTACTTATTGCTACAAAAATTAAGCTAACAAAACCATCAGATGAAGGTGCCCTAGTCTTTCCCCTGCTTTACTTCAACAACCTCGTTACTCACTCCCAGAAATGTATAACCATATATTCTGAATAAAAGGTAAGAGCATATCAGCAACGCTGTCTGCTATCCAGATTTTAGATGAAGAGTCATGTATTACTATTTATTTTTCTAGTGTCTCCCTAGAGACATCAACAAAAAAATACGAGATTATTTTGCTAAACTACACAAATGCCCCAAAGATATTACAGGTTGTCTGCAAACACAGCTTCAATAGAATGGCAACCCTTAATAATTAACTTCAAATTGCCTCTGAGACACACATAACACTTTAATCATGGACAGCTTACAAAGTTCAAGGAGGCCTTCTTAATTCCAGATCCTTTAAAAGTGAAGAAATGCCCCTTTAAGAAATTTTTTTTGTTTATTTTATTTATTTTTACATCCCTGTGCAAACCAAGGAGAAAGCATTTTAAAGTCATCATTAAAATAATTCTGATCTTAAACTAGGAAAAATGCTTCCATTTAATCGCTTGTTGAAGAAGCACTTTATTTATAGACATACTGTGCAGGAGGAAATTTGTCTCTCCTACCATATAATAAGATGCATGGCTTTCTGCCAGGATGCTGGCTATCCCAGGACTTTTGGTGTTCCATATACCAAGAATGTGGAACTATACTGCCTATAAACAGAAGAGGTTTATTTTTTCCAAGGATACTTTAAGACATGCTTTTTCTTGGATATAAAGTTGAAGAATTAGTGCAGCAGTTATGCAGTTGCAGGAGAAGGAACTTTCTTTTGTATATTCATCACCAGCCACTTTAATTAGCTAAGGGATTGCTAGAATATTTCTTGCCAGTCTTCCTTCTCCCATTTACAGAAGAAAAACCCAACCTCCTGGACTTTCTGGGTTTTTCAGAGCAATTCTCAAGACTCGAGGTATTACTTACACAAGCATTTCCACTTAGCAAGATAACTCACATAAATAAGGATTGCAAGATGGGGATTTGCTAATCTGGGAGAAACAGTGCATCCAATTAATTCCTCTGTTTATTTAGGTAGGAGTTTTAGCTCTTTATTATCTTCAGTATCTCTGACCACAGCAGAGAGGGGTGGAGGTAGAAGGGAGTTAAAGATGGATTTTTGAAGGGAAGCCATAATTAGCTCAATCCTTGGATTCAGCTCAGGAATGTTGTTACTGCTAAATAGTTCCTTAAATGGAGCATTTATAAACCAGAAGCAAAGCTGTAATATTAGAAGAAAACTCAAAACAAAATAATTTTAGATGCAGAAACCGCAAGGTTAATGCCCTGGCACAGTGACATTATCCAGCCTACAGGACAAGGAAGGAAGAAGCGTGTGACAGATGGTAAACCAGTGCATTATACCCAGTTGGAGCCCTGGTAGGACTGAGAGACCCCAGAGGTTGTACCCCTCTGAAACTTCTCAGAATGGTGCCTGGCTCCCACATGGGGTATGCATGGCCCTGCTGCTATCTGCCCCATAGCCATGTTTGGAAACTCGGGTTTCCACCCAGCCACATCCTCTCCTTCTACTTGCCCTCCCCAGCAGCTATCCTGTGAGGGATTCCTGCCCAAATGAATGGATATGAAAATTTTTGGCCTGGGAGCAGCCTGGCTCCTTGTTGCCTCATCTTGCAGCCCTCCCACAGCAGACGTGGGGCTGGAGCCTACCTCAGGGCATGTTCCAGATGCTCTGAAAATAAAACTATGTTTCATGTCCACTCCTACACAATCATGTCCTATCATGCCCTGGACTCAGCCCAGTCTATTCAAAACAGATTTTGGCTTTTATCACACGATCTATAGGCCTGATCCAGCTACCAAGGAAACTATTTGGACTTAAGGACAAGTTCAGGACCACAATTACTTTCCAAGCAAAATAAATCATTAAGCTATGATGCAAAAGATTAATGCCCAGTCTCCATGCAAAACTGAATTTAATCATTGTAGATCAGGGTATTTGGGGGCAACATCTATTTTGTAATTTCATTAAAAACAAACAAACAAACAAAAAAAACAAAAAAAAAACAAGGTATCCACAGCTTGTCCAAAATTTAAAATTATTTTCCACATTTCAGAATATATATTTTTTTTAAACAGACAAACCTTGCTTGTACTGTAATATCCCAAGGAAGCTTGTTAAATGGCTTTCCAAGGCTATATGATCTTTATTAAAAAATTATAGCACTGTCTCTTGGACACAAGGAGAAAAAGAAATAATCTATTTTTCAGATCAAGACTTGCAGTAGTGGAAAATAAATCTTACAAATTCTCTCTCAATTTCCATTTAAAATTTCCTGTTCCGAATGCAGACACAGTTGTCTCCTAAGCGTTCTTCAGTGCATTCATAAATTGCAGGAATACAGTTTTCTCGACAAACCCGTTTCAAATCCAATAAAAAAAGTAATGGGATTAACTGCTTGGAAATTTAGCCAAATATTTTAATTTAATAGAACAAAATAAAGTATATTAATATATTAAGAGTGCAAAATAAAGTTAGTAAGGAGAAACTGAAGGCAAAGAAGTAGAGAAGCCATGGGATTTTCTTGCACTTCAGTATCAGTGGCTGTGCAGGAATTTGTGCAACGCAGTTTCCCATGAGCGGTGACTGCAAGTGATGCTCTGCACAGTGCACAGAGGGAGTGAGGGAGAGGTGGGAGAACACAAAGCTCCATGGTCAGATCCCCACACAGGAAGAGCTTTTTTTGATCACAAACAGAAAATATTACAAAGTTTTGGTCTGTGAAAGTTTGGCCAGACCAGTTTATGGAGAGCTGTGGCAGCACCAGAGGTCAGTGGTGCAGGGAGTTTCCTCCACATCTCACAACACGTTCTATACAGGAGAAACTGGAGACGTAGAAATGTAGCATAGCTTCTCTGAAATTTATACATCTACATATAAATGCATAGCCATGTATATACGCATGCATATAGGAGAAATTTTTACTATATAGATTTTCCCTTCACCACTTTATTTAAGATGTAGAACCCAGGGGGGAGGAGGTAGAGAAGTAGCAAAGTGAGAAAGGCTGCTTCTTAATTGGTGTTTGCGAAACATAACAAGTTTCACAGTGAACACAATGCCTCTGACTAGCCCTGAGGAGTTGTTGTAATAAATACAGTAGATAGGCTTCGTGTGGGCCAGAGAAAGTCATTAAAACGCTGTAGCCAGCTCTGTTTGGTTTGGCATTGCCTATGATACAACTCCAATTTTAACAACAAGCTACAATTGTACCAGTAGAAAAAAACCCTCAGGAAAGAAAAAAAATGTATTTTCTTTGGAGAAAATTGTATTCAGATATCTGAATTTCTCATTTTGCAGCAAGAAATCGTTTTACCTCAATTTGTCTTCACTTCACCTGCTTTATTTTCTTATTTCTTCAAGCAAATCACACACACATACTCACACACAAGGAAAACAGACAAAAGATCCCCACAGAACTGTATGACTGGAATTTACCACAGTACTGTAAAAACTTTGTCTGTTCAGATACTTCAGTATAAGCAGAACATGGCAGCAGCATCAGCTGATTTAAATAACTGATTGTAAAATATAAACATAGATAGATGAGTAGATGTAAAAATAGTAACAAACTGTTATAATTTATGAATTTTTCCAATCAAAGTTATTTCCAAAGTATTTTTGTATTTGAATACAAATATACTTCTGTGTACACGCCATCATTTGTAATCTATGCACTTTTTCCTGCTGGATGCAGTCCATGCCTCATGACAAACCACCTTGGGCATGTGGAACTACTTTTGTTCTCTTCTTGAAGGACAGAAAAATGAGTCCTCCAGGAACAGAGCATCATACTTATAATGTTTTCATTTTGTTTTCGTAAACCCTCTAATTAGCACAAATGATCCCAATTACTTTCTATAGAAAATGAATTAAAATATCTTGCAGGTAGATCTACTATACTCATTCGCCCTCCCTGCACATTCTTATAACATTTCCATGCATTTCTGAGCACATGCCAAAATTAAAAGACTTCTCTTCCATGATATATTTTAAAATAGGAAAATTGTGAAGTCCTCTAAGTGCTGCAAACACAGATTTAGTTCAAAATTATATTGTCAAATGTTCTGGTAATGTTTACATATGTTATATTTATGGATACAGAAATATTTCCAGTCAAATCTCTACTGGACATGCAAATGCCTTGTTCACCTCACTCACCTATGAACGCTATTTTTGAGGCATCTCAAAGCCTTTCAAGTCAATCTTCTCAGACTTCAATCTGGAATAGCAAAGAAAGATTAGAGAAAAAAAAAAAAAAAAAAAAAAAAAAAAACAGTAAATAAATCTGAAATGAATTTAAAAAAAAAAAAAAAAGTAATCCATTAATTTAATAGGAAATCTACTTCCAGCCTCAAACACCCAGCAGTTCTGAATCAGAACCAAAGACTGTAAGATTAATTTACAAACTGGAATTTTACAACTTCTTTGGTCTTTACTTTTTGCTTTAAAGGGTTTGGGGCTAAGATTTGCAAATTTTTCCCAGGAACTGCAAGAGCTAAAATCATTCCTTTTCTATGAAAACTGAGAATCACAGGTAATGAGATGTGTCTAGGAGCTGGCATTCTAAGGAAAAACACCAAATGTTGTTAGACTTGTAATAAAAATCAGGAGTGTTGGAAACACTGTTATAATCTTGCTTTCAGAATGCAATAATTCTTGTAAAACACAAAATAGTGCATGCTAAACCAATCTTTTCCAAATCAATACCTCTACGTTTTAACTTACATTGGTAGGCTGAGGATTATATGGCTGCTATTTTTATACCAGAACAACTTACAGGGCCATGACAACAAATTTTAGTTGCTAAAATACAGTATAAATCAAAGACCAAAGAAGGGAAATGGACTATTTTTCTCTAACATGATCCCTGTTCCTATTTGCTATGGACATGATTAAACTTTTCATTTCATGGCCTTGCCTTACATGACCCTCTCATGGGAAGGACCACGGAACTTCTTCTAAATAGAGAAAAGTGCTTTGTGTGTGGCAATATTTTCCCAGAAAGGGAAAAAGTGACAAGCATCAAGTCAGGAAAGTAAAGGAAAAGACATCACATATTTGGAGCTCTACAAGCAGTAAATTTATTGTCAGTAGTCAAGTTCAAATAGCATCATCTGGAGAAAAAAATTCCCTCTAGAACCACAGCACTGATGAGAAAAGAATTTTGACCACTTGCATTCTGACATTTTTATGAATTTAATTTAAGGTGGCAAGAAGAGATCTAGTAAAAATGTATGAATGCCCACCGAAGGGAAAAAACAAATAACCCAAAAGAAAATGAAACACTTTTTTTTTTTTTTTTCCCTAGAAGAAAAGGTCTCATAGCTGTTGATGTGTTTTTAGGTTCCAAGCCGAAAGTATTTGTATCATCATTTCAATAATGGGACAATAAGAAAAAAAAAACAGGCACAAACTTTTTTGACACACTGACCTGAATTGCTTTGATACAGAGGGTGGCACCTAAAATGAAAACTGAAGTGGTTTGATTAATTTCTTTTGTGATTTCAGACAAGACAAATAATTCAGTATTTACAAGTTTTCAATGCCCACATTTGCAAATATACTTCTGAGAAGCAATGTAACATTTCCAGAGGCACATCTATTGCCTTTTTTCCATAGTATGTTCTTCGAAATCCTTAGAGGAAACAGAACTTTGAAGAAAAAAATCTTGTACTGCCCTGACCTTCTTTCTCCTACCCTACTGATATACATTTAGTAGGATACTGCAGAAATGAAAAGATCTTATGTGATATATTTGAGATAAAAAAAACTCTTCGATAATGAAAGTTAACCATATGCTCTACCTGAGGTGCACAGAACAGGACAAGAGTCAACAAACAGAAGCTGCAGCAAGGGAAATTTCAGTTATAAGAAAAAAAATTCTTCACAGAACTCTGAATCACACTGTCCAGAGAGCCAGATTCGCTTCCACACCTGGAGATCTTCAGAACATCAAGAAAATAAAAATAAAAATAGGCCCTGCATTTAAGTGGGAAGTGATCATGTGTGATTATGGTAAGACTCCTTTTCACTCTGAAGATTGATGTTTGTGAGATCTGCAATTTGCTGAGTTTTTTGTTTTCTTTTTTTTTTTTTTTTAATTCTTTGCCATTAGAGCAATCCAACTTCTACACATTCATTTCCTGTAGAAGCATTACAGTAACAGTCACTCCAAGTGCTACTACTGAACTCAACATACTGGCTTTACTGCATACACACAGCTTAGGTGGGACTGTTCTTCCTTGGATAGAGATAACGCAAGCCTTAATCTACCATCCTCAAAACCAGCTAGAGGAACAGTTGTAACAGTATAGAGCTATTTGATAGCAAAATCTAACACCGTAAATGACAATGTTTTGCACTGCATACTACCAGAACAATACGTAATATCTAAGCTATTTGTTTTGGATATATTTACATAAGGTTGTAATCACGTCACTGGTTGAAAGATGCTAGCAAAATGAGGATGGAAATAACCTGAGTAAAGATGCCCCAGGAGAGTTCTTATTGAATTAAGTCCCTGTGTCTTTATCAAGAAGCAGATTCTTAGGCACCAGGAAAAAAAATACGTCAGTACTATTTGTAAAGCAGTACAGTGCCTTTCCATGCAGTCTTCAGTTTTGCTTGTTAACAGGGTACTTAATCAACTGCAGCCTTCTTATTGCTCTACTGTCCTGCCTTTTTGGAGTTATCAAAAGGTATCAAAGGTATCTTCACAGCCACTTTGGGAAGCTTGGAAGCTTTCGGAAGCCCAGGAACTGTTGGTGAAGATACTCAATACTCACTCAGGAACAAAATATATGCTATTCTCCAGTTAAACTTTTGACAGCCATCAAGAAGCATGTCTTTAAAAACAAAACAAAACTAAAAATAAAAAAAGCATTCAGAGAACTTGAGATATACTCAAAGCACATGAGATTATTTCAGAGTAGTACAGGGGCTCCTTGCTCTGAACTACATGATCTAGCCAGCTTGTTATTATTGCTGAAATAATGTGCAGCCCCTAGATATGAGTCTAATCCTTGGGTTTCCACAGGATGGAGCACCGGATTTGCATTGGGACAACAGCTGCAGCAAGTGAGGCCTCCTGAGCAGCTCTTGAGATCCTGAGTAAGTAAACAAACAGCAGTTTTCTATGAGGATATATTGACCTTCTTGTGCCTTCTGCAGTGAACATTCTTGTGAGGTACCATACCATAAAAGATGACAGCATTCCTCCAGTTGCAACAGAGTGACTATCTAATGATGTGCAAATCCCCAGCTAGAAAGAGAGGGTCTTGTCAACCAGATGCAGCTTGTGTCATTCTGTTGTCAAAGTCAGCTATATGTCTCAATTAATTGCTAAGTATAATGGCAAATTGGATTTCCCTGTTCCAAATTTGTGCATGCAAATGCCATTAGAAATGTTTTGCAGAAGTGGGTTCAGAGAATTCTCAGACAAATGAGCTGCAAGTGTTTGTTGTACAGGGAAGCATCACTAAATGCTATTATGGTCTCATGTGAGCAGGTACTATATCTGCGAGGAGAGCCCAGTCCCATGGAAGATGTTTTAACTAGCATGATTTCACACTGGTCTTACTAAAAGTGGTTGAGAATTGATTTTTTAACTGTGGGTCATTTTTGGATGGGGGACTTGCAGTGCATTGAAAGTATATGAGGCAGATCAAAACATGGTTAGGGCATCAAGTTTCTTTAAGTTATAGACAACCTGTGTTACTCTTGATCAGACTGGATTTTGTCTGTTTTTCTGACTAGCTGTCCAGAATTTCCTGAGTGAATGAATAGACAGCCATTTTCTCAAGTGAATAAGCCAAAGCAAATTCTAAGATGCTACACTTTAGAAATTACTATGATCACTGGATATAAAAAAAACTCTTTCCTTGGTAAATAGTGGCTTTTCTTAAAGGTATAATTCTGAGTATCATTTTACTGTTGGTGATGATTAAATTTTCAGATTTCGACACCTTAACAATTGACCTTGATCAAGGTTTTGAATTGCCCGTCAGATGAAAAAGCTTTAGACACCAAGCAATTATTTAGCGATAGCCATCAGGATAAATATTCACCAAAAAGGAAAATAGAATGAGTGCACATCTCAAATAGAAAGTGAAAAAAAATATAATCAAAGTCAAAACTTAATTTGCATGTGTCCGCAACTCTGCTCTATAACTTTTCCCTCCTCAATTTCCATTTATCAGAGTATGCCAAAGGTAAAATTTAAGACTTCAAAATAAAATTACATCTTTTCAGTAGCTATCATGAAAAGATGAGGAGTAGAAATCTAACGTCAAATCAAATTAAAGCACATTATAGTGTAAATTCTATGTGCATTTTGCACATTATTATATCTTGACATATCATGAGCTGAAGTGACAACATTTCATGCATGCATTGTACTTCTGAAATCAGAGAAAGAGCACAACTAGCTTGCTTTGCTCCACAAACAACTATGATATACTCAGAATCAGGATATTGCTAAATTTATTACATTAGAAGAATTAATAGTTTAGAAGAATGCTTCTAATGCTTCTTCTAATGATACAGATATCCTGTCCTTCTATTAAAGAAAGTTGTATCCAATTCCAGAGGTAAACTATTCAAGTTGAAACAAGAATTCTGAAAAGTAAGAAAGAAACAATTCACTCACAGAAGCCCTGCCCACTTGTCAAAAGAGCTTTACATATTTCTCATTATGTACATTCTCATACAGGAAAACAAAGTAAATACTGCTTGCTAGTCACTACAGATCAGAACAATATCTTTTTATGGATGAGTGAAGAGCATCCTCCTCTTACAAATGTCTTTTTACTATAAGCCCTTTTTCCTTCACAATAATTTTGGTTAATCTAAGGCTACTTCACAAAGACACATAGACCTAGCATTTGCCAGGGACTCTCAAGATGTCTTCCCAAGTTTTTTTTGTCATTCCCCTTAGTCTAAAGGCCAGGTCAAGACACCCATAGTCCTCTTGTGAAATTGCAATATCTTTACTGCAGCCTGTCATCCTGACATAACTGGATTCATAAAGTGAGCACTTCCACAAATATTTTTAATGTTACACAGACTAATGCCTTTTATTCTTTGCATTTTCTAGTCCTGATGTACTCTATTACTGATCCAGATTGTTAAGAAGCTCTTTCAATCATTTCTTCAGTAATTTCACTCATAAGTCCTTTCTCCTTGTCACCCACCTTCCCCTAACAGGGAAGCTTCCTCTTCATTTCTTTGGTAAAAACAAATAAATTCTTCTGAGTTCTTGCTTTTGCCTAGGATCCAACAGGTAGAGAAAAGATAATATCAACTTGCACCTCTTTAACTTTTTCAAGCCAAAAAAGTGGCTTACCTCTTCTGATCCTTCCCCCAAGACCAAACAAACTGGATGCTACAAAGAAAGTGCAGCAAACTTTTTATTACAGATACACTATAGTCACAACAATTTTTTTTTTTTTTTTTTTTAAACCAAGCTTTTTGGGGACTTAAAATTAAACTTATCAACCCTCTTTCATTTAAATCTGTAGTCAATATAACTACAGATACTGTCCCTTCGTTAGCAACTTGGAGGTACAGTTTTCAAAACCACACATCTGACGTACCATTTCTGAGTTTACTTTGAAATAGGGAGGTTTACTGATTAGAAGCTATTGCAAATTAATACTAAGATGCTTGGAGAGCTGCACTATCGGAGCTATGGAGAATAGCACTAGCTTTCCAGAGGAGAGAGGCATAATACCACCAAGATGAACACACAAGTATTTCTTCCCCCTTCTCCTTTGGGATCCAACTGATCTGAGAAGAACAAGGACTTATTTTGAAATGAAGGATGAGAAGGTTTGACAATAATACCTTTTCTTTAGAGCCTCACCATAACGAACTACAAAATAAATGTAACTTATGGCTGTTAGATCCCACACAAGTTCTCTTTCTTTAACAATGACTTGCTTGCTTTCAGCTGAACTTTCCTTTGCAACAGGCTGTCTCACTGGTCACAAACAAAAACATTTAGCAAGGCTTCACAAAAAAATTTAGCAAGGCTTTTTGTGGGGCAGTATACAACAAAATACACAAATTCATATTTATACTTTGCATACTATTTTTTTCTAGCTATATCTATTATCAATTTTCCATTTTGATTGCCTGGATTGGTAGCTCTAATTCACTTAATTTCTGTCTGCCTCAGTGTCTGAGATTATAAAATAAAGTCATATGAGTAGAAACACAACATGCACAGTCTATAGGGACTATGGCCAATTCTTGATAACAGTGGAAATTTTGCCACAGGAAAAAAAAAAAATAAAAACAGGAAAAAAACCAGAATCTGCTTGTGGCGTTTAGCTGGACCATCCACTCAGGTAAAACTCAGTAAAGTTACACCATTGTAGAATTTGTCTTCCTAAACTGATTTGTTAGGGGCTGTTTTTGTTTCATTTTCACCAGTCACAAACATTGTTTCTGAACATTAAATAGTGTATAAACCAACTTTTAATTTAAAACACTCCTGCAGAAAAAAAAGGCACCAGGAAAACAGCTGTTCTATGCACAATAGTGACACAGTGACTTACAATGACTAATTAATGAGAACACCTGGAGTATCTTTCAGAGCTAAACTGGAAACAAAATACTGGAGATTAGGTTTTCAA